ACGCAAATCTTTTTTTAACACTGTGTGGCAGGTACCGACTGATACTCCCACCATTTGTGATAAAACACGTACAGAAGTTCTTGGCGCATTTTCCATTATTTGTTGGACATTTTCTTTTAATTCTTCAGTCCGCTTTTTAGGTCGGCCGCTTCCTTCTTTTCTTGTTACACTGCCCGTTTCACGAAAAACATTAACACAACGCTGAACTGCACTTTGAAAAATTTTGTACTCAACAACGCCGGGAAATTGATTTTGAAATTCTATGAAACATTCCTCAATAGAATACTTCCATATTCCATCAATCTTGCGTCCATTTCTAAAGTAGGACTCTATGATAAACACTTTTTGTTCTTGAGAAAACACCATTTTAAACGCTTTTTAAAACGAAAATATTCAAATTGATAGCGGCGATATAGCGCTTTGACAGATGACGTTTAAGTTCATTTGCTATACGCTACGCCCTACGTCCAAATTTTCAGAACCAACTTGACCACGTTTTTATTTGAACGCTCGTTATATTAGTCTAAATGTTAATGTTAAAAAAATATAAGGTGTTATTATACATTTTTTGCATGGAAATACCTAATAGTTTTCCATTTCAGCTTAAAACAATTTTTTATTTAAAAGTGCAATCAAAACTTTAGGTGATGTAGACCAAAGTTTTAACTATATACAGGGTGAGTCAGAAAGAATGGATCAGAATGGGTAAGGTGGAGATACTAGACACCAAAATATTATGTTTGAGGTTATCATACCTTATGCGAATGTCGCTGGTTTACGAAATACGAGGTGTTCAAGGTTTAAATTTTATTCTGAAATTTCTCAATAATTGAGAAAGTTTTGATAGCATGACCTTGAAATTTGGTAGTGTTGGGTTTTTTGGTATGAGAATTACGAATTTGATGCTTATTTTGACGTTGCTCATAGAGGGAGCTTGTTTCAACGTACTATTTAGGTAAACCAAAACATATATTTTTTTATCTGTTGAGCTATGCTTAAAAAAAGTTAAAAATCCAAAAGAACGTTCAATTCTACTTAAAAATGTACTCTTGTTTAGATTACCTAACTGTATCGGTTTATGAGTTATTTGAATTTAAAAGTTTCAATGTATTTTGTGGTGATTTTGTTTCAGGCGTTGATATTGTTCTTTTTTGCAAGTAGGCTTGTGTCAAATTTTCATGTCAATAAATATTAGCGTATTTTGCGTGCGTGTGATTTATTATTCGTGCAAAATTATTAGCTAGTGATCAAAAAATGCCACGACATAATAATTTTTCAAACAGTGAGATGCGTGATATGATTTGTGTTTTTGCCCAGGCTAATTTTAATGAACATGCGGCGGCCCGAAGATATGAACACATGTACCCAAATAGATTGCAACCTAACTATAAACTATTCAGAAATCTTTACAACCGCTTAGGCGAATCTGGATCTTTTCGACCAAAAAGTAACCATGGTACTCCAAAATCTGTCACAGTCGATGAAGAAGAGGAAATTTTAATTCGTGTTTCGGAAAATTCTGGTATGAGTACTCGTCGGTTGAGTGCGGCAATGGGGGTAAGCCAATCGTCCGTTTGTAGAATTTTGAAAAAAGAAATGCTCCATCCATATCATTATACTCCGGTTCAGCAGTTATTGCCTTAAAATTTACCAAAATTTGCTCAGTTTGTACAAAATATGCAAATGGAAACCCAAATTTCTTCAATAAGATTCTATTTACCGATAAGGCGACATTTACTAGACGGGGAGTTTTCAATTGGAAGAACAATCATTTGTGGGATTCCGAAAATCCGCATGCTGTAAAAGAAAGACATTTTCAGCATGAGTTTAAGGTGAATATTTGGTATGGTTTAATTTCTGTTTTTTTCATAGGACCTTTTGAATTATCACCCATCTAACTGGACCTCATTATTTAAACTTTCTTCAACATAATTTAAACGAGCTTCTAGATGATGTGCCACTAGCTTTAAGAGAGAGTATGTGGTTTCTGCACGACGGTGCGCCTTACCAGTACGCCAGTATTTAAACGAACATTTTCCTCATCGGTGGATTGGCCGTGGGAGTGAATTTTGTTGGCCACCGAGAAGTCCAGGCTTAAACCCTCTGGACTTCACAGTATGGTCAAACTTGAAGGATGTGGTGTATCGTGAAGAAATATTAATTCTGTTGGGGAGTTGCGGCAGAAAATACAAGTAGCCGCGAATGCATTTAAAAATAATAGGGACATTTTGTTTAATATTCAGAGACATTTAAGAGAGTGTACAGTAAAAATTATTGAGGTAGGTGGTGGACACTTCCAGTATTTGATTTAAGGTTTGTTATTATTACTATTATCAATAATTGAGAATAAAAAATCACCACAAAATACATACATTGACACTTTTAAATGCAAATAACTTAAAAACCGATAAAGTTAGGCCACCTAAACAAGAGTTTGTTCTTTTAGATTTTTAACTTTTCTTAAGCTCTCAACAGATAAAAAAAATGTGTTTTCATTTACCTAAATAATACGGTGAAACAAGCGCCCTCTAGGAGCAACGTCAAAATAAGCTTCAAATTCGTAATTCTCACACCAAAAAACCCAATACTACCAATTTTCAGAGTCATGCTATTAAAACTTTCTCAATTATTGAGAAATTTCAAAATAAAATTTAAACCTTGTGTTTCTTAAACCAGCGACATTCGTATAAGGCATGATGAGCTCAAACATAAAATTTTGGTATCTGTATCTCCAGCTTATTGTTGACCCATTCTTTCTAACTCACCCTGTATGTCTATCATCTACCCTTCCCAACTTACCTTCGCACTCCATCAGGATCTACGTATCCGTATTTCCCTCTGGTGATGCAGTCGATGCCCAAGTTCTCCTCCTTGAAGGTGCCATCATCGTTTTCGAAGCCCCATGTGATGCTACCGTCCTCGTTGTCGGTCCTGTATTTCCTCAAAATTTGTACTACTGGTTTCCTTTTTCTGGGGTACTCTTCGTCGTCGTTCTGTGGTCTGGGAGCCGGACGTTGGGCAGGAGCTGGTCTGAATTGCTGAGCAGGTGGTTGTGGTCTTGACTTAAGGATGAAATATTCCTTTTAGTAATCTTATAGTACTACGAAGTCATAAAATAACAGGAAATAATTTAATAAAATAGTTGCAAGAGCGCACAAAATCCTCATTGAAGGATAAACTACTCGCCATTATAGAGGCTAGAACAAGGACACTCACCAATTGTCCAGAGACAAAATGGGGTCTAACAAAAGCTGTGAGATGAGTTAAAAAACACTTTCGATATTAAGAGTGGAAGACAAGGTCCAGAAATAGTGGCAAGAAACCTAGAGACGTTTTCAAGGGCACATTAAAGAAGTTAAGGCAAACCTAATGAAGCAAGGTCGTCGCAGATCAATAAGAATAACAGTAATACTACTAACAGGACATTGCAGACTCAGAAAATATCTGAATAACATTGGACCAGAAGAAGTGAACGTATAGGAAGATTACGCTGCCGACTATTCTGAAGAGAAAAACTTGAAGCTATGTGAATGAGCTTTTATAAAGCAATAAATTCAAAATATGCTTCTCTTGTCAATCTACCTGGCAAGACAAAAGGACCTATTAAATTGTCTCCTATAATTATAGAATTTAATAGGATTATAATCCTACATCTACAAATATTAGTCGAACAAATTGATCTTTGCCTATCCGGATTTTTTCCCAGTTATGAGTATTATGAAAATTGAATTGTTACGTCTCGGATCCTTTTCAACAATGTCTGAACTATCTTCTTTCGTATTCACATAAACTGTTAGTTTGGGCCATAATTTTCAAGTCGCGAATCAATTATTACTAGATATGCTTCAACGAATGTCCTTCTAAAATATCTTACCCGTAAATTAATAACAATTTGTGATTCTCACGTATGCTAAGCATGGAGAAAAGCAAGGAAAAAACTAACGAATTAATGGTACAAACATTGCACTTTGTGGTATTCTCTGTACAAAATTATGTCTTGCTTCTTTAATTAACTATAGTACAGTGTGCGCCTAAAGTATGGAATAAATTCAGTAAAAACGAAACAAATTTCTTTTGGGAAAAATCCTCCAACAGGTCGATTTTTAATTTAAAAAATACATAATTTAGCATAAAAGGCATTTATTGTCTTCGAGTAATGACGTCATCGACATTTTTTTAAATAGCAACCCCCCTATTTTTTTTCTTGATTCTGAAATATCGTTTCATTGTCGATCCGACAGTATTAAACAATGTTGCCATCTTACATAGGAAAGTTTTCGAGTAAATGACGATTGAATGTTAGAAAACCCAAATCAATTAAAATAAAGCAAAAACGTTATCAAATTTAGTTTTTCGAAATGCCTGAAGTTTTTTATGGATCACGTAGGTGTAAATCTTTACAAATTGTCACTGTCATACCGACTTTCTAAGTATTGTAAGCGATAAAAAAAATATTGTTGAATTTAAAGTATTATGGCACATTTAACTGTCACACCAATAATTGAAATTTTAATTCTTATCGGATGCGGGGATAAGACTAGAACTCAGCAGGGAGTTTGCGATTTATTTAATGAAAAACATCCAGATTGCCGTATCAGCCAATCAACAGTCAGTAAGATGAAGATCACAAACAGAACATTTTGATAAGTATGGTAGATTATAATACTTCACGATTGGTTGCATTAAACAATTAAATTAGTCAGACCACAGTGCGACGTATCCTGAAGTAGGAAAAATATCATCCCTACAAAATTCAACTTTTGCAGGAACTCAATGAAGACAATTCCGACCACCGCTTACACTTTTGCGAAATTATGATGGATTTACGTCAAGTAAATAGAGATTTACACCGGCAAATAGTTTTTTCAGACGAGGCCACGTTTTGTCTCAATGGTACAGTGAACCGTCAACCTTGCAGGTATTGGAGTCGGAAAAATCCTCATTGGATGGCAGAGACACATACCCAACATTCACAGAAATTAAATGTGTGGGCTGGAATAGTTGACAACAGAATAGTAGGGCCTTTCTTCTTTGAAGGAACCCTTACAGGAGAAAGATATTTAGAGTTTTTACAAAATGACCTTGTTCCAGCGTTTGCAGTAATTTTTCCTAACGATAATGACCCTTGATATTCCTGAGGACACCATATGGTTTCAGCAAGACGGTGCACCTCTGCACTATGCGCGCCCTGTTCGAGATTCTCTGGACAACTGTTTTCCTAGGAGGTGGATCGGCAGACGAAGACCGATAGAGTAGCCCGCGAGATTCCCAGATCTTACACCCCTGGACTATTTCTTATGGGGCTACTTAAAGTCCAAAGTGTACGTTAATAGACCACATAATTTAGAAGAACTCCAAAATTGTATTATAGATGAAATACACAGAGTTACCCCAGAAATAATTTATAAGAATTTCTACACAGACTTGCGTATTGTCAAGAAGTCGGTGGGTGGCAATTCGAACACTTAATTTAGGTAGAAAACTTAATGAATTGCATTTGCTTGACATAGGACCTGTTATTGTTTTAATGAATAAAATTTACGTTTTCTAACATTCAATCGTCATTTACTCGAAAACTTTCCTATGTAAGATGGCAACATTGTAATACTGTCGGATCGACAATGAAACGATCTTTCAGAATCAAGAAAAAAATAGGGAGTTGCTATTTAAAAAAAGTGTCGATGACGTCATTACTCAAAAACAAATGACGGTTGAAAGTCGCCTTTTATGCTAAAATATGTATTTTTTAAATTAAAAATCGACCTGTTCGAGGATTTTTCCCAAAAAAAATTTGTTTAGTTTTTACTGAATTTATTCCATACTTTAGGCACGTACTGTATATTGAAATTATGTCAGTCAAACTAACAAGCTATATGTACAAGAGCAAGAAACGCACCTTCCTGATTGGTTGCCTAGGAATGTTCTCTTCTTCATCGTCGATTTCCTGCCTGACGATTGGCCTCTCCTGTCTTAGGACAGGCCTTTGTGGCGGAGGCCCCGGTCTCAGAACAGGCAGAGGTCGGGGCACAGGGGCTGGCCTAGGTTGATTCTCAATGGAAGGCCTCTCTCTGATCTGGTCCCTGGTCACGGGAACCGGTTTTTCGGGCCTGAAAGGCAACGGCGACGGCCTCAGTGGTGGTTCTTCTTCTTCTGCCTGTCTGACGGCAGAAGTCAGGGCCGAAATGCCTAGTTTGTTGACTTCGTTGTCGAAATTTGATGTCGGGGACGGAAGGTCTTCTTCTTCTTCTACCACGGGACGTACTTCCCTGACGGGAAGCGGGACGGCGTTGGGGATGCTCGGACGGCGTGGTCGAGGGAAGTCTCCCCCGCCGCCGCCTATCCTTGGGCGGAGGGGGGAGGGTCTGGCACCTTGGATTAAGACGGCTCCAGGGATTGTCAATCTGGGAGGTTGTTGGGCTGATGCATTGTTTAGGTATATCTGCAACGTAAATTGCAAATTCATTATTGGGGAAATTTACTGTATTTTGGAAAATTTGTGTTTACATTTTACTTTACTGTGTAAGTTTATTTTAGATAAAAAAAAATATGATCCAATTTCTAAAATACCAGGTTGACGTAATTCTTTACAATTACTTGGTTAAGTCACTAGTCCAAGTTGTCTCAATCTACAGGGTGTCCCTGAAAAGGATGGACAACGCTTGACCACAGGTTCCTTGAATGAAAATAAGACTATTTAGCCTTACTTACCTATATACAAAAGTGCACGCCTACTGAGATATAGCCTTCTAAATATAGAATAGATAACCAATTTTTTTCAAATTATTTGAAAACTATTTTTCTTAGAAACTTCAAATTTGGTACACTTATTTTTTTATATAAGGACAAGGTAAATATAGAATTTGGAAAGAATACATATACAGGATGTTTTATTTCTAGTGCCTGTGCGCCACTGGCTATCCCGTAACTTTTTGTGTGTATGCCAATGACGGCAGAATCTGTATATTAAAAAATAAGCACTGTTTTAGAAGATTTTTTTGCTCTTACGAAATTTCGATATCGTTTATGGATTTCGAGTAAAATTCGCATTTTTTATACATTAAATATAGGCAAAAATTCCGATTTATAAAAAATAATTTATAACTGCAGCCTCAAAGCAGGGAATAATAACGAAAAAACGTCACATTAAAATAAATAACTACACATTTTTGGTATTAGTATTATCAATCAATAAAATAAAAATCAACACTAGTATTTTAAATAAACATTATCAACTAATAATGTAAGAAAGTCAAAATCAACATTTTAAATAAACTGATATTTGTAATCACATTAAAATAATATTACAGTAAATGCTCAAAGTTACTTTCTTGTTCTTAAACGCAAACATTAGTTCTTCGAAAATTAGAAATTATCCAATAATTGTGCATTACCTCTCATAACATTAATTTCATGTTGTATTCTTTCCCATATTCGTTTTCTGTATTTACTGAAAAGTTATTTTAAACTGTGGTCCTCAACGCTCCCCAAATGAAATAATTACATGGGTTTAGGTCCGGGGATCGAGGTGGCCATTTTAAAGGGGCATTATTTCCTCTACCTATCCACCTGTTAGA